CTTTCTCTTTCTGTGCAAAGAATGCATTTTTTGAAAATTTCGACCATTTGTGGTGGAGGTAGGAGAAGGAGTGGACCGATATATTCCATCTTAACACCAGAGCTTGGTTTAAGATAAATATTGGGATGTGCGCCATTTGAAGACAATCGGACTCATACATCACATTTCATAAGAGTTGTAATTATTCTAAATTTTGAACATTTGTGGGGGAGGTACTTGAAGCAGTGGACCGATATTGTCCATTTTTACCCCTAACTAGAACTAATGCAAATATTACGATTTACAAAGTGAGAACAAAATCGGATTATCCTTTCTCTTTTTGTGCAAAAAATATATTTATTGCAAATTTCGACCTTATGTGGGGAAGGAGTGGACTGATATTGCTCGTCTTAACACCAGAGCTTTGGTTAATATAAATATTGGGATGTGAGCCATTTGAAGACAATCGGACTCATACATCACATTTTATAAGAGTTGTAATTATTCAAAAATTTGACCCTTTGTGGGGGAGGTCCCTGATGGAGTGGACCGAAATTGTCCATTTTCGCACCTGACCTAGAACTGATGAAAATATTAGGATTCGCAAAGTTCGAGGAAAATCGGATTATCTTTTCTCTTTCTGTGCAAAGAATATTTTTTTTGCAAATTCCGACCTTTTGTATGGGACGTACCAAAAGGAGTGGACCGATATTACCCATCTCCGAACTCGATCTAAGTTTGACAAAGATATTACGATGTGCCAAGTTTGAACAAAATCGGATGCTCCCTTCGAGAGTTATCGTGCGCACCAGCCAGCCAGACAGACAGACGGACGGACATCGCTAGATCGACTCCAAATGTTCTGAAACGGATTTGGTCCAAAGAGACCTAGGGTCTTAAACCGTTATTTTGACTAGGCACGTTTTGACCGTATCAAATGATATATACCCTCAGCCATATGGCAACAGATTGATCAAACGAATAGAGATATAATTCTGAAATTTTGGATAAAGGTCCCTGACGAAATACGAACTAAAAGTACTAAAACCGCTAAACTAAAAATACTAAAACTACAGCTGACATATAGAGGTAGTTTTTGAAGGATGTACTCAATATAAAAACCATACTAAATTTGGATTTGAGTGAACGGGTGGAGCTGGAAATTTGAAATACCGATATTGTCGTCAATGTTAGTGAGTAGGATTGAGATCTGAAGGTGGTTTTAGAAGTATGTACTAAAAAGTTAAAAAAGTACTAAATGGTGCTAAAAATGTTATATGACTGGTATTGCGGGAAGTAATAGAGCTGGAAATCTGAAATTTTGGAATGAATGTTGTTGATGTTGTATAGAATCGATGAAACAACGGAAATTTGAACAATAAGTGAAGTACACTAAACTTAGATAAGTCGAGAAATTCGATAAAAAAGGGAAGTAAGGTTGAGATATCGGAAATGTGTATTAAGTATCAAAACTGTATCAAATGGTACAATTTGGTTTGGGTGACTGGAAAAAGGTGGAGGAAAAAAATGTTGCATCAAAAAGGTCTTTCTAGATATGTGTACAAGAAGTGTACGAAAAGTACTAAACGGTACTAAATTAAGCATATAACATGGGAATAGAAGTGGTATTATAAATTTTGGTATTAAGATAACTGTGAATATGATGCTTTTACACAAGGAGTCGAATTTGGTAATTCCTGCTTTAACGTGTACGCAACAATTTTCAAATGGCATAGGAAAAAAAAAAATAGGAAAAAATGCAATTTTTAATGTCGGTATAAGGATCACTGTAACTGTTTGTCATTTAGATCAGAATGTGAACATGTACAAAAAGTCCTAAATGATACTACATTTGATACATGCGTAGGAATAGAACTAAACTTTTGATTTCTGGTATGAGGATAGCCAAGGACAGTTTTTGGAAATGCGTGCTATATACTCTATGAAAAGTACTAAATTCAGTAGGTGGTGTGGGAACAAAACTGGAAATACAAATAATTGTGTAAGGATTACTGTGAATATGTAGCTTTTATATAAGTGGGTCGAATTGCAAATGCGTACTATAACATATTATAAAAGTACTAAACTAGGTACCTAGAGCTAGAATTGCGCATTTTGTTATTAAGTTCGCTGTGAAATACATAAAATATATTTATGTTTAAACAAAGGAAGAAAAATACAACGCTGTTCAACTGTACAAATTAATCATATGTAATGTAACTATGCTGGATGTGTATTGAAATTAGTCGTTCAATTTATAACTTAAACTAAGAAATAGCGATATTTTATTAAATACAATCTATACGGAGAAAAATCACTCCAGCTAAATTGTTCGTCTCCGAAAAGAATCATATTAATGTACAGGATGAGATAAAAACTGCAACAAAGTCAGACGCCATAGTTTTTACATTTTTATACCTACAACACTATGTGTTGGGGGTATTAAAATTTGATTGGGCCAAAAATTATTTAACACCTCGAAATATTGGTTTCCCACATAGGAAAGTATTTATGGATCTTCCTATCTTGCCGAGCTGAATCGATCTAGCTATGTATGTCCGTCCGTCCGTCTGTCCATGTTAATTTGTAATCACTCTACAGATCGCAATTATTGCTCGATCTTTACAAAATTTAGAATGGAGGTGGGGCTAGGACCAGAATAGAAGCGTATTGCTTTTGGAGATAATCGCATAATATTTAGGGGTTGAAATAGACCAAAAACTGAAACTATTCATGATTTTGCAGTTGCTCTTTAGGTCGCAATTATAGACCAATCGACTCGAAAGTTAACTTGAGGCTAGAGCCTGGGGCCTGGCAGAAGCCTTCCAATTTTGATCATCGGGTATTTTTTGGTCATCGGGTAATATTTTATGTGTAAAATAGACCATAACATTTGTGTTAAATAAAAAACAAATTTTCCATTTAACCGCGAATATATTTAATCCCGCTGAAATCACAAATAGACGAGACGAATATATATAGCGAAATATATTCAATGTGTATATACAAAGGAAGGGGATGTTAGTTAGAATATTCATATCTCAAGAATGCCTGGACTGATTTAGACACATTTTGTCAATTCAGAATGCCCTCTTGGTACTAAAGAATAAATTCTAAAAAATATTTCAATAATGAATAAAAGATGCCAATAATGATGTTAAAATAGATTTTGTTGAATTTTGTGTCATTTTTTCATATTTTTTTATCACATGCTTTTTTTAATTTGACCTATAATACTGAAGTAAACATTTTGCAATTATCGTCCGATCCTCTTGAAATTTTTTACAAGGACAGGGTTAGGCTCCAAAGGTCTAGGCCTATTTTTTTCAAATATGTTCGCAAAATATTTAGGGGTTGAAATGGACCAACATCTAAAAATGTTCCTGATTTTGCAGACGTTATAAAGGTCACAAATAGAAAGCAAAGGACACAAAATCTCGCATGAAATTAGAGTTAAGGACAGAGGATAGAGTGGACAACTATTTTTGAGTGAAAAAATACCAACATTGCCATTCTACCGAAACGCTGAAAATAACCTACAGGCGATATCTAAAATACACAAATAGCAGAACTTTAGGCTTTTTATGCTGATTTCGTTGACGAATATAGTCAAATATCCTAGATAAGCAAACCATATAGACGAGTCTAAATTTAGAGATACAGAGGGACCCTTACTTTTGGAGATGATCGCAAAATATTTAGGGGTTCAAATGAACCAAAAACAGAAAAAATTTTCTGATCACACAATTGAAACCAATCGAGACGCCTGAGAAGAGAGTTAAAGACAGGGAAGAATTCTAGCATTTTGGATGATCATACCTGGACCACAACAAGTAACAGCACAACGGAGTGCGTAAATATTGGGCAAGTGTGCCTGGTCAAAATGCTAAGGGTTATATCTGGGCAGTGCTCCGTGGAATAATTTCAAAAGCGATGTCTTCCAAAATGGATTTGGACATAAGGGGGCATCTAATATATCTAGAGTTGTAGGGTATTACATGGTCGGTCCCGCACCACTATTACCTTTTCTTACATGTTTTTAAATTTTATTAAATGAAAGCAAAAAATGTCGGAAATAGCATCAAATTTTAGAATATGTTTAGATTTGTTCGAATTGGTCACCTTTGGCACGAATTATTGCCTTCAAACGGACAATGAAACCGTCACACCCTGCCCGAATGTTGTTCTCCGGTATTTTGGGCCATTCTCGGCGAAGCGCGTGCTTGAGGTGATCGGCACTTTAATATTTTTTAGTGCCAACCCTGCTTTCCAAAATACTCCAGATACAATAGTCCAAGGGATTGGTATCCTGAGATTTTGGTGGCCATTGTGTGCTGGAAATGATGCGAGGAACCTCATTTTTTAACCATTCATGGGTTTCGCGTGAGTCCTGTTGGAATGTCCAAGGTCTGCGACCAAAATGTTTTCGTGCCCAAGGCTTTAATACACCCTCAAGATGCCACAATCGATTAATACGGTCTGTGTTAGACCCTGTTCTACTAAATCGTTTTGGACAATATAGGTATAATTTGACAAATTCATATCAAATGTTGGGGTTATATCACAATTTTAGATTTTAAACCTTTATATTTTATAAAATCCTCCAATGCCCCATTATGGTAGTCACGTAATGCGTTGTAAAAATCGATTTAGTTGTTAGGTGAAATATCCGGGTTTCCGGGTTCGCCCCAAAAAAAAAAAAATACTTTCCAGGAACTACAGTTCGAGAGTTTTTACTTAGCTACAGTTAAGCTTCAGACCGGTATTTGATTTAAACTTTCTAGAACCTTCTAATACAATTCGAATACATATTTCCAAATTTCGCATACTCGTTCGCTGGAATAAAGCTGCCAGCTTCGTTTTGAAAAACATTACATTACATTACTTGGATGGAGATTACTATGAAGTTAATTTGGCTGCAAGGTTTTCCCTTTCATACTCTTTTAGGAAAATTCTGAATTGTAATAATAATAAGCTGTATCTGCTCTAACACAGTAGTTGGCGATGCAAAACAACGAAACTGTCGATTGATTTAATATTCTCCATTTATTTGCAACTATGATTAACATTTAAAAATTTAAAACATTTAGTTGATATTCACCAAGACAACTCCGACTTCAGGTTCCGCCTCGAATTTAGTAGCATCTATTACTTGCCTAGAAATATAAAAATGTTATTTGTTATATATATTAAGAGCATAATGGGTAACAGGGAGTCAAGCGATTTTGTCCCTTTCCTCATCTGCAGTGGAATTTTCTAACTCATATTTTTAGTTACCGACAAAAGTCGTTAAAATTAAAATGTTTACAATTTTGGTAATTAACGAAATTTTTTGGTAATTTAACGACTAAATCTAAGTAGTCGCTAAGACCTACAGATAGATAGCAATGTTGCCAACTTCAATTCTTTAATAATTTGTATGTAACTCAAACAAGTAAAAAAGCAGTAAGTTCGGCCGGGCCGAACTTTGAATACCCTCCACCATTTGGAACGAATTAGAAAATTTTCAAAAAATAAAATCCATTAAAAATTCTGTTAAAATATTTAAAATATCTAATATCAGAAGGTGCCGATATGGGGGCTATACGATATCGTGGACCTATATAGATAATTCTCTTCCGAGGTATAAAGCGATCTACTTGTGTAGATTTTCAGACTATTCCGTTGAAAAATGTGGGTAACATCATCAAAATACCGAATATCGGAAGTTGCCGATATATGGGGCTATACGATATCGTGAACCTATATAGATAATTCTCTTTCAAGGGATAAAGTACTCACAAGGAACTCCTTGTGTTGATTATCAGAAAATTCCGTTGAAAAATGTGGGTAAAATCATAAAAATACCGAATATCGGGGGACACTGTTATATGGGGGCTATACGATATCGTAGACCTATATAGATAATTCTCTTCCGAGGTATAAAGTACCCACAAGGAACTACTTGTGTGGATTTTAAGACAATTCCATTGAAAAATGTGGCTAACATCATCAAAATACCGAAAATCGGGGGGTATAGTTATATGGGGGATATACGATATCGTGGACCTATATAGACAATTCTTTTTGAGGGGGTAAAATGTCCACAAGGGACTCCTTTTGTGGAATTTCAGACAATTCCATTGAAAAATGTGGCTAAAATCATCAAAATACCGAATACCGTGGGGGTACCGTTATATGGGGGCTATACGATATCGTGGACCGATATAGCCCATCTTCGAACTTGACCTGCCTGCAGACAAAAGAGCGATCTGTGCAAAATTTTAGCTTCCTATCTTAATTCGTTTAGACTGTAGCGTGATTACAACAGACGGACGGACAGGGCTAAATCGTCTTAGAATTTTACGCTGATCAAGAATGTATAAACTTTGTTGGGTCTAAAATGATTATTTCGATGAGTTACAAACGGAATGACGAACTTAATATACCCTCCATACTTTTTTTGGTGGATGGTATAAAAATGACTTAAAAAATACCACTACTGACCTAAGACGGATAATAAGATGTCAAAAGTTTAAAATCAATCGGGCACATCCTTTGCTTTTTATAAAATAAACTATTTTCCAGAAGTAGTGGGTCGATATTGCCGTTCTCTATACTCGATATAAGTTCAAAAGAAATAGTATGATGTCCCAAATATGTACGAAATCGGAAAATGCCTTCGAGGAACAGACAGACATTTTTGCTTCAAGTGATATATACTCTTCGTAGCGATACGGCTGAGAATATAAAAATATCCAACAATGGGTTTATTAAAATCATTACTGTCTTCCTCATTTTTGCAGATATACGTTCAATATAGGTATATAGCATTGGGCTTGGCGCCTCATTTACAAGTATACTCTTAAATAGCTGGAAATGTAAAAAGGAAGCATTACTTAATGTGAACGGATTTTCACAGACTTTGCTACAAATTGTTTTATTAAAAACTGTTCAACGAGTTCCCGTTTAAACTGCAAATGCCAGTGAGATTAGTTGGAGAATGCAGTTAAAGATTGCAAAATAGGGTAAAGTGGGTAGTACCGTTGGGTGCAATGTCAAATCGTGCACATATGTCGACAATTTTCTACTACAAGGATTGTTATCCATATCAAGTCTTAAATACAGCGTTGGAAACCATTCCACGCTAAATGTTTTATATAATCATTTGCCACCACATAAGTGTTGATACCATTACAAGGGGGCTACTGGAAACCATGGAACAATATGGACAATTGACCGAATTTTAAACAAGCGCTTTGGAAAATTTGACCTCAATCGTCGTATTATCGAATATCCGAAGGTACCGCTAGCTATACGCTATACATAGCTATAGTTATATATATTCTTGGGATAGCCTAAATCGACTTAGAATTTTATGCTGATCATTCGTCTCTGACGAATACTAAATACATTCTTCTTTCTATGTGGTAAATGGCCTTCATAAAACAATGGAACACACAGTGTGTGTCATTTGCCAGCCGTAACAATATAATAATTTATTGGCGAATAATTTTTTGAAACTTTTCTCCAGCCCTTCTCGACAAATAGTTCGTGAACTTCTTCAATATGTTTATGGGTATAAAAAGTAAATCTGTAACACTTGAAAACAAACCTAAGCCGCCAATTTGTGGCGATTGCCAGCTAACCAAGGTCTCAATCTAACCCTTACCGTTTACAAAAGCCACGTGTTTTTTTTTTTTCGGAAGAAGAACTCACTTGTGAGCACGTGTTTCCACACCGACGTGCGTAGCATTTATAATTGATTTTTGTTGTACAACTTACCCCTCGACATGTTTCGACTGCAGGGACGAACAAATAACTTCGGCCTTGCTTCCAATTTTGAAGTGGTCATTCACGTTGAAGGTTTGCGTACTGTTGCTCAAATTCAAAACAATGACGTACATATCGTTGTTCGGCAGTTGCCTACAAATAAATGTGAGTAAGCCCCCACTTGTGTGACAATGGCGCAGTGAGTGGCAACTTGTACTTACCGGGAGTAGATAAGAATGTCATCGAGTATGGATTTAATCTCGAGTGGTCCGTCTTGCATGGAGGGCTCCTGTCGTAATCTAATCAACGTTTTAAACAGTTGCAAGTGACTGCGGGGGGCTCGCGATTGACTGAGAGCGTTGCTCTCTTTGTAGTTGGCAGCAACTGGCAGCCAAGTATGATCGCCTTCAGTAAAGCCGGCATTGCTCGATGCATCCCATTGATAGGGGGTTCTCTCAGGATCTCGCGAATAGCTCTCGTATGTTTGGGGGCTAGAGCTACATCCTTGGGTGTCGACAGTTTCCTCCCACGTCACCTTGCCATTGACCATTCCGATTTCCTCACCCTGTTTTGAATCAAATAAACCGAGTGTTTCATAAAATATTATGGAAATGAGAAAATACCCACATAGTAGGTGACGGCATTTCCTGGTAAGGTTTGCAGTAATATCGTAAATAAATCCATACGACCCTCACCCAGGCGAGTCGAGTATCGAGGATTATCATGATTACCAAGTACCCAGTTGGCCAACACATCCTATGGTATTGAGTTCATCCATCTCAGAATATTGTCTTTTATTTCCGTTGCCGTAGAGTTCTTCAAAATATTTTGCATAAAATAAAAGTTGAAGGGTATCATGGAGCCGTTACGGATTCCGTCGCCATAATAAAGCATCAGATTGTCAAATGTGGTGTATGCTTCGGTTAGAAGAAGGCGAGTGCCACCGCCATGCTCCTTTTTATAGGCCTCAGTCAATTCTCTCCATTGATAGACCATTTCTATGGACTCTGGCTGATTTTGAGTGTAGGTGTGGTTCAAGTAGCACCAATCATCGGGATCTGGGCAGATACTGACATCGTTGATGACCGGCTCATCGGGGAAATTTCCATTCTCATCTGGTCCCTTTTCAAACATAAAGGGTAGGGCGTCAATGCGAAAGCCAGAAATGCCCATATCCAACCAATACCTCATGACCTCCTTCATTTTGGCCACCACTAGAGGATTGCGAAAGTTCAGGTCGGCCTGTTTAATGGAGAACTGATGTAAGTAGTACTGCTGTCTTTGCTCATTCCACTCCCAAGCACTGTAGCGGAATGCACTCTTCCAATTGCTGGGCGGCTGTCGCTGGCCATTGGCGTCTACTTTTCCATTGTGCCAGACATAAAAATCCTCATAGCCTTCGGTGCGGTTAACCGACTTCTGAAACCATTCGCATTCGTCGCTCGTATGATTGGGTACGAAATCTAAAATCACTCGTATTCCTACTTCCTTGGCCCTCTTTATTAGATTTTTGAAGTCCTCCATGGTACCATATTCCGGATGAATTGCATAAAAATCTGAGATATCATATCCAAAGTCCACCATTGGTGATTTAAATATAGGTGACAGCCATATTCCCGTGAATCCAATATCTTTGAGGTATTCGAGTTTTTCTGTAACTCCATTCAAATCGCCAATCCCATCACCATCACTATCTCGAAATGAACGCGGGTAAACTTGATAGAAGTTGCCATTTTCCCACCAATCCTTAGCGTTGACCAGGGTGACCAACATCAGGGTGACAAACACCAAGAATTTCATCGTCACAGCTGTACAGATCGTACTGAAATGTGTTTCTCCCTCACTACTGATTTTATACCATTAAATTCGACAGATTGAACCACTTGAGAAATTAATTTTCAGAGCAAATTATGTTTATTTTGTCATAGAATGAAGTATAAATTTTCAATTATTTCTAATAAGTTATCGTGTGATTCACAAGTAAACGTGTGCTTGCATTATTTTGTCACAAACATGTTAGTTAATGCAAAATTCTATTGTGACTTATTATTGCCAAAATCTAGAAAGTAGCTAAACTCGGGCGCTTCCACAAGACAGAAGATATAGTATATAGTACAGTAGATGGGACTATATGCGATGGGACCTTTGCTTCTTAGCCAGCCTTTTAATAAGAATTGTGTATTGTTACATTGTTATACTGCTTACATTTATTTAATTACACATATTATTTAATTCGAGCGGAGGTCATTCATTTTAGGTTATTATATTTATACCCTACATAATTACATATATCAAAATTAGGCAAAAGAGGAAATTTCTGTTATTTTGCAAAATAATTACCTCTATGCTATTTCAAAGGGAGAACTTTGTAAATGATCTCATCTTTACATTGATACAACATACGTTGATGCAGCTCAACAAATCTCAAATGTATGACTAACTTCAAAAACATCATTTTTAGACAACGCTTTTTACAAGTAACAACTTATGAATTAGCCTGTTTCTATTAATAAAGTGGTTTGATTTAAAAAGAGTGAATGTTTATATTTACAATCATTTCTAATGAAAATTAAAAAAAAAATAAAAAACAAATATATCAGCTTATCGAACTTATATGGGATGACTTCACTCAAATATGTGGTCATATTTTTAACCTGGTAGATTATAAAAAAAGTGACAAGTACGATAGGAGAGAACTCCTACTTCGAAAAAATTAGTCATGATAAAATCAACTACCCAAATTCACTTGAAATTACTCATTATCCAAGGGCATATTAGTGAACAAAGTATTTGATTTTGCTTATAATATTATAATTTTGGGAATAAAGAAAAGTTTTGCAATTAGGACGAATTTTGGGACAAGAGACCAAAACATTTTTAATGAAGTCTTAGGTCTAAGTTCTCCAATTGTAGGAGAGTTGCTCTGTTCCAATAGGACTATTGGATTTTCATAAAAATTATAATGGGAAAAAATACATATTTGAAAAATACAGGTAAAAAGGTAGCTAAATTAAGCTGGGTCGAACTTTTAATACACATCATCATTAGGAAGAAACTTGCAAAATGTTAAAATATTGCGTTGAAATATGCCGCTATAATTTTTAAAATTCCGAATATCAGGTGTTACTGTTATGGGGGGTCAATACGAAATCAAGGTGGTGCCTATTACGAACCCCAAATTTCGAATTCGAAATAACTCTGTTCAAAATGTAATGTAATGTAAAATCAGCAAAATACCGAATATTCACACAGGGACTATACAAATTAATAGCAAATTCGGTTTGAAATTGAGATTTATACACCCACAAAACTTTAAATCTGTTGGTGTATTTATATGCGGCCTAGACCAATTCCACTCGTCCGACAGCTGTTAAAATTATTCCAGTGACAGATCATTATATTGTTTACAAGCGTACAAAAGCATTTTGGTGAGAATTTTTCAAAAACAATGTTATTCGTGATGGAATTCTATATTTTTGGCTGGAAAACTACAAGAGACTATAGTTAGAGCATTCCAGCATTAAAATGTGAATAAATATTTGTGTTTCGTACACCGCAACAGAAAGAAAATAGACTCAAAAGAGCTAAAGAGTTGCTTCGCTTGGTCGAAAGTGGTGAACTGCCGAATTTGGTTTTCTCCGATGAGAAACATTCGTTGTCCAGCAGTTTGTAAACAAACAAAAGAGGTCAGCTAAAAATGTGCACCTGCCACCAGAACTCAAGCGACCGCCATGATGATGGTGTGGGTCGCCAGTACAGCCGATGGTCGCTCTCCGCTCGTATTAATCGACCGTGGCATCAGAAAAAAATTCCGAATATTATCACGAAAATATTCTGGAGGGTGTATTCTGGAGGCCCTGGGCACTTAAACATTTTGGCCGCAGACCTTGGACCTTCCAACAGCACTCGGCACCATCGCACTCAGCAAGCGAAACCCATGAACGGTTACAAAATGAGTTTCCTCGCATCATTTCCAGCGCACAATGGTCACCAAAATCCCCGGATACCAATCCGTTGGACTATTGTGTCTGCAGTATTTAGGAAAGCGAGGTTGGCACTAAAAAAATACCAAAGTGTCGATCACTTGAAGCAAGCGCTTCGCCGAGAATGGGCCAAAATACCGCAAAGCAACATTCGGGCAGCGTGTGACGGTTTTATTGGCCCTTTGAAGCCCATAATTCGTGCTAAAGGTGACCAACTCGAACAAATCTAAACTTATTCTAAAATTTGATGCTATTTCCGACATTTTTTGCCTTCATCCAATAAAATTTAAAAAAATCGTAAGAATTATGGCGTTTGACTTTGTTGTATTTTTTTATTTCACCCTGTATATACACTTTGTGGGGTCTAGATCACTAGAATGTATTTTATGAATGAGGGTACTCATCCTATTCATCCAGAGTTGAAAAAACAACACTTTTATTATTTTGTTTTCCTAATCCTTGTATGTGGGTTGGAAAAGTATTTGCATTTTCCAATAAGATATATGGACTATATATAGCCACTCATCTGGGGATAAAACGATACTTAAATCATTAAAATCTTTTGAATAAAATGTTTCACAAAATTAAACAATTTAATCAAAACAATGTGTTGTTCCCTTTATCAAAAACTTGACACTGTGATTACTTCCAATTTTACTAACATTATTGTACATATATACATATCCATATACATATATATACATTTATATCTCACCATTTGCACAGTTGAGTGACACAAATAAACACCAACTAATTCGTATCTTGTATCTAAATTAAGTGAAAAAACATTGATTCAATAAATGACTCGGAGGTTGTAAATTTATAAAATCACCAAAGTTTTAAAACTATTATTCTTTCTATTGCAGTGTGATTTATGTCAAATATTTCACGCCATCAAATGAAGTTGGAAATTATTTCGCAATGGGCCTTGGGGACGGCAAACGATGACAGGTTAAGTTGAATGTATCCATGTTAATTTATTTTAGTGAAGTGTGAGTAAATAAAATAGTGATTAATTTCTTATTAGCATACAGAAGATTATAACTAAGTTCAAGTATTAAAATTTATTTAATAGTTATTTTATATCAAACTTTTATGGTTTATATTAAGAAATACCAATAGCTTTTCCAAAGTCTGGATCTGCCCTAAAAAGCTTTTCGGAGAATTTTACACATAGTGATTTTAAAAAATAAATTTAAAACTCAAATAGCGTATTTCTTGGTAGGATGAAGGGTACACAACTCGTCGGTGTCCTGCTTAAGTGTTCCATACGCCATTCGTCTTTTTAAGGAAAAACGACTTTCAAATTTTGAATCTCGAATTTCTTAGAGTTGACTTGAAAATTCTAACCAATATCCATTGGAATAAAAAGACTTGCCCTTTTTAAAAACATAATAGGTTTACCATCTACCAAGAAAAGGAGTGTATATTAAATTTGTTGTTCCGTTTGTAACACCTCTAAATATTTAATGATCAGCATTAAATTCTAAATCGATTTTACATTGTCCTTCAGTCTGTTGAAATCAAGATACAATGATTCTAGCCTCAATTTTGGTATTTTAGGCCCCAATAGATAGTAATCTTTGTAGATTAAAATTGTCTGTATTGGTTCCCGTTTTGATATTGTACCGTTAATACGTTACCATCCGTTATATGGAAACGAAACTATCTCTTACTTGTTTCAATTTGTTTCATATCTAATATTTTCATACGTTTGTCAATGTGCATTATATGGACCAAATTTACTAAATTGTTTCTAATACATATATCAGATCAAAAATTCTTAATTTCTAAATAAAAACAAAATATTTATATTTTTTACCCTCCACCATACATAGTATGGAGGGTATATTAAATTTGTAATTTTATTTGTTGCTTCTCGAAATAAGCGTTTTAGACTTCAGAAAGTATACATATTCTTGATCAACACAAGACTCTATGTCAATTTAACCATGTCAGCCCATCTGTGGAAATTAAGCAGATTGATAAAATTCGGTCATCAGATGCACTTTAGGTCCATAGAATTTTTGGTATTGGAATTGGGTTACATAGGTCCACATTTTGATATAGCCCCCAAATAACTGTACAGCCAGATTGATGGGATTTTATTTTTGTACAGAATTTGCTCTTAGTTGGCAGTTCGTGTTCCCTGTTCATAGGAAATATCTTTGTAAAGAAGTGTAGTCCCTATACGACTGCACCTCCCGATATTCTGTATTTTAAAATTTAAAAGCCACATTTTCAATTGTGTATTTGGAGTTGGTGATGGGTGCAGGTATATCCCCAATATTATCGGTACTTTCTCGATTTCGGTCACATTTTTCACCGAAATCATTCCAAATTTAGAATTTAGGCCAGAAAGCCCTACTTTCTAGAACAGGTTCATGACTTCTTTAACCCCCCTACATCTCCTATATTCTGAATTTTTAATAACATAAAAGGTAATTTTTCAAAGGAAATTTGTCACATTAAATATTTGGTCAGGTCGCAGCTAGTTGCTTTTCGACATGTTTAATTTAAATTTTAATTGTTTAAATTTTAATTGTTTAAATGAGCTCTCCAAAAATTAAAAAAACGAGTCATAAAGGACATACCGGACAACCTTAAAAAATCATTTATATCTTAAAAACTCAAAATGTCGAATGGAATACATGATACCGACGAAAAGCACATACCCCTAAGAGTGGCAAATATTGATATTTAAAATTTCTTTATTCGGGGTTTTTTGAGTTTGAGATTTTAATTTCTAAGCCCTAGCCTACAACTCTAGGGCTAGAGAGGATGTATAATTTGATATGATCAAAAATGTGTTTCATAAAAATAAACGTTTAAATAGACTCTAGGAAGGGA